GCTGTCTGTCTTGGTTGGTTTTTTAATCTTAAATGTTTGAGTTTCCTCTCGGATGTGTCTGCTGCGAGGCATCACTGCAGTGGAGGCGACAGCGACTTGGAGGAAGGAGTAAACAAGAGGCAGTTTCAGCCCGTCCATTTGATCAATAAAGGTGGCTTTGATGGAAGAGATAGCCCTGACGCCAGCCTAAATGTAGCTGTTACAAGTTGTAGCTGCCTACAATGGTTGTAGTTAAAAATGCCTGCTATACCATCGAGGGAGGCACTGCAGGACTCAAATATTTTTCTTTCTTCCAAAAGAAAGCTAACAAGCCTGCTTCTGTTCCAACAGAAAAGGAGGGGGGGGAAAAGTGGATTTTCTGGTCTGTGCATAAAGGGCATCGTGGAAAAAAAAAAAAAAAAAAGGAGGCAAAACTAGAATATTTGTTTAAAAGGCAGAGGAGATGGTTTTGTGCCGGCCGCCCCTGCTCGCTGCCGAGTGGTAGTGGCTAATAGCTGGAGGCAAAGCTAATACTTGGCAGGGGATAAGACACAGCCCAGGCCCCCTCGTGCTGGGGGCTTGCTGAAGCTCTTGCTTTATGTCAGGGCTGCCAGATGAGTTCATCTTTGCAGGATTTGGTTGGGCACCCTGGGAGATCCAAGGCAGCAGAGGAACCCAGCGTGGCCCGGGGAGCGAGGCAGGCGCGAGGGCTGCCCTGGATGGGGCTGGGGAGGAGAAAATGGACTCACCGTCTGCCAAGAGCTGTTCAGAGGAAGAGCCTTGTCGGATGAGCCTTTTAGCTGTCTCCTTTCAGGGTGTTTTATTTGCCTGCAGGCCATGGGCAGGGTGCTTTTGCAGCTGGTGCATGGCTCTTAAAGCCTCTCGTCACCCTGGGCCAGGAAAAGTGAGGTGGGAAGGAAACTTCCGTCTGCTTGATGTGCAGCTACCTAAACCTCGTGTCCTCACCCCTGTGAAGGGGCACAGGACATCTCCAGGGTGCTTGGAGCTGGCACTGCTGGGCAGGAGCTGTGACGAGGTGACAGAGATGGGAGGCATGTTGGCAGGGAGGATTTCAACCCACTGAGATGTGGATGGATGGATGGATGGATGGACTGAAGCTCATGCCATGAATTACGTGGAAGGGGTTTTAATAAGGCTGTTTCAGATGCATGAAAGCAAGAGGTGCAAAAAAAACTTCCCCTGCTTTCAATGTGTGTAGATTGATGATCTTGCTGAAATCCTTGCCAGTGCCTTGAAAGCAGAGATGAGAGCGGGGATGGTGGCACCTACAGCAAAGTGTTCTTGCAAACCAGCCACTGGTTTCCTCCCACTTTGCTCTCCCCCACTAAGGATGTTAATTTGCAACAAAGCATGGGAAACCTATTTAAATGTCACCCTGATGAATCCATCTGGTGGAGAAACTTCCGTTTTGAAGTCGTCCCCTTCGTAGGCTGGAAGGGAAATTCAGGGGCTGAGTGGTAGCCTCTGAAAAATGTAATAACAAACCCAACTTACCTAATGGGCATGCAGGGCTTTGTGGAGGTGGGGAGGTTAAACAGATGCAGAGCTCAGTAATTGCTACCAGCCTCCCGGCCCAGGAGATGAAAAGCTCTGAGCTTTAGTCTGGAGCCCCCCCAGCATCACTCGAGTGGGACAACAGCAGAATTTGGCATTTGAGAAGAGGTTTGGAAAGGCACTGGAGGCATCTCAACTGAGTGATGTCCCAGGGGGAAGATGACTCTGGTTACTGGATGCTGTGGAAGATGAAACTCAGTTGCTCGGTCCCTGATCTTTCTGCTGCTGTGTCATTTATGAACTTCATCTTGGTTCACCTCTCAAAGTCTGGAACTGTTTGCCATAGTGCATTTTAAAGAGCAAAATGCACTGATCATCTGCATGGTGGTAGACCAAGGGACATTGTCAGAGAAGGTCAAAAGAGTCTTGTCTGTGCCAAGCTATTGATTTCACAGGTTTGTACAGATAGCTAAGGATGGTCTTGGTCCAGTAACATCCACTTAGGTAAGGCTGTTTGGGTCAGATTTGTGTTAATGCCATAAAACTTAATTAATATGATTTTTGCAGCTGCTGCAGAAATACTGCGAAGAGGTTCTGAACATTCTTATCACCAATTTCATCAACGTTTCTCTTCTTGGTGGAGATCTGGGTGCATCCTACTGGGACTAGACAGCTTCAGGGGGGTGGTTTCTAACCTGGAGTTACACTTAAATACTCTCTTTCTTCCCTAAAACTTAATGTGTGCATGGGTGATGCTTCTGAAGGCATCATGAGACACCTCAGGAAGAGTCAAGTCCAGTCACCAGTATTTAGTGATACACTTGAGTACCACATATCCATCATGCACTTGCTGATGAGCTCATTACACTTTGGAGTAGGTTGGATTGTTGGTTTAATGCCTGGCAGTCCAGACACAGGGGGTCATTTGAGATGGCAAAGGAAATACAGTTACTGGCCAAAGAGTGAGAATGGGAGAAGCCCTTTGGGTTTGCTGTATGTTGTTGTTACCAGAATGTAGGATCCTACTACAGAGTGGCTCTGAGCTTACTACAGAGTGACTCTGAGTGGTTTTCACTGAGGATGGCTCAGAAATGTGGACACACAAAGACCCGAGGGTGCCATGGGACATGGTGGGGTGTCTCACCCCGCTGCTGGTGGACAGGACGTGGTTCTCAGGGGACCACGGGTGCCTCACCCAGCTCTGGGATGCTACTATTGCTCTGACCAAGGGTCTTCACCCACTTCTCTGCTGTGCAGAGCCACTGATTGAGTTTAGGAGGTACATCTCAACCGGTTGTGTCCAGCAGGGCTTTTCCCATGCCTTCAGGAGGCCCAGGACACCACCTGCAGTACGAGGGAGCACAGAGGCGTTGGCTCACTCCTCCACAGAGGACTGCCACAAATGCAGGGAAATGGTGTTTCTTCTCCCTGTGGGGTTGAAGTGTCTGATTGCTGCAGGGTTCCCTTCTCAGATCTGGATAAACATCAATCAAAAAAGGAGCTGTTGGCAGCTCTGCTGGGTCCTGAAGCTCATTTCTGGAGAAGAAGGGACCAATCGGGCCTTTTTGGGGTGGTTTAGACCTGCGACGGGTGTCGGGGCAAGACGATGAGCGTGGCCCATGGCAAGAGGCATCCTGCCTGCCCCAAACCCCCCTCCCCCATCTTAAATGGGTATAGTTACAACTCCAGTTAAACTCTAACAAAGCCGCTTCATTCCAAGATGGTTAATGGGGAGGAGAGCCCGTTCCCCTCCGGGGTAATTTGAGCCTGAAGAGAAAGGGGGCTGAGAAGAAATCCGGTGTGTCAATGGGGGCTCTGGGGCAGACTAATGGCATCAGCCCGCGCGCCGGCTAATGGGAGGCGATGGGACGAAGGCCCAGGGGTCAGCAGGCCGCGGGCACCGGGCCGCCTGTCAGGGAGCTTAATGCCCAGCACCACCCGGGGCTGGCTGGAGGCAGAGCTCCTCCCTTGGAATCCCATGGCTGCCCTTGCAGCTGGCGTGGTAGGAGCGGGGCGATGGCCACCAAGAGGTTAATTCGCCTTCGTCGCGGCTCCTCCAGCTCCCAGAGTTCCCATCCTCCTTCTAGAGGCAGTCCTAAGTGAGACGTTTCTGGCAGTCAGCGTCCCTCCTGTCTGCCTGCAGTGTCATTCCTAGAAAGAGGAGAGGTTTCCCGTCGGTCTGGAGAGAGTTCCAGTGGCTCTGTAGGAGGACATGGGTGGTTCCTAGCAGCTACTCCCCCGTGGTATGAAATGCCTCCTCAGATTTCATGTTCCCCGTGGGAACACGGGCATCGCTGGCAGAGGATATCACACAGCAGAGGTGACTGTCAGGTCACTCATCCAAGCACATCCCAACACGAGCTGGACCTTGAAAATGGGGCTACATCACCCCAGCCGTGCTGGGGGAGCCTGGGGACCCGCCAAGCTCAGAGGTGCTGGCTCTCAGTGGTACAGATGCACATGTCTTGAGTACAGAGGGTCCCAGCTGCTGGACACGGGATTGAACATGAAATTAGGCATTGAGCTCCATGGGAGCTGGTGGGGGTGGCCTGGTGGGTCCCCAGCCTTTGCTTGAGCCTTCTTTTTCGGTGGTATTTGACCTAACTGGAGACAAGCTTTGGGTTGAGCTCAAGACTTGGTTTGACAATGGGCTTTGCATCTGAGACAGGCTTTGAATTGGAGATGAGTTTGGAGCTGGAGATGGGCTTTGGGTTCTTTCAGCTGGAAACAGGCTTGGGGTTAAGCACAAACTTTGGAGGGACTGTTCACAAGTGTTTGTAGTGACAGGACAAGGGGTAATGGGTTTAAGCTAGAAAAAGGCAGATTTAGGTTAGACATTAGGAAAAAGTTCTTCAGTATGAGGATGATAGACCACTGGAATAGGTTGCCCAGAGAGATGGTGGAGGCCCCATCCCTGGGGACATTCAAGATCAGGCTGGATGAAGCTCTGAGTAGCTTGAGCTAGTTGGAGATGTCCCTGCTTATGGCAGGGGGATTGGACTAGATGACCTTTGGAGGTCCCATCCAGCCGAGACGTTCTGTGATTCTATGGGCTTTGGGTTCTTTCAGTTGGAAAAAGGCTTGGGGATGAGCGCAAACTTGGGTTGGAGTTGGGCTTTAGGTACTTTGAGCTGGAAACAGGCTTGGGGATGAGCGCAAACGGGTTGGAGTTGGGCTTTGGGTACTTTGAGCTGGAAACCTGCTTGGGGCTGAGCACAAACTTGGGTTGGAGTTGGGCTTTAGGTACTTTGAGCTGGAAACAGGCTTGGGGCTGAGCACAAACTTGGGTTGAAGGTGGGCTTTGGGTTCTTTCATTTGGAAACACGCTTGGGGTTGAGCACAAGCTTTGGGTTGGAGACGGGCTTCGGGTTGGGGATGGGCTTTGGGTCGAACACCAAATTTGTGAGCGAAGCCGACGGGTGGGAAGAGCCTTTTGCTCACCCTCCATAGCTGTCTTTTCCCGGGCGGTCCCAGCAACCCCTGACTCTTCCCTGCTTCCCCCCCAGACGCCAGCACGTCGCCCGACGCCGTGAAGAGGAGCCATTGGTGCAACGTGGCCTACTGGGAGCACCGGACGCGCGTGGGCCGCCTCTACGCAGTGTACGAACAGTCTGTCAGTATCTTCTACGACCTACCTCAAGGAAACGGCTTCTGCCTGGGACAGCTGAACCTGGAGAACAGGAGCGAGACTGTGAGAAGGACTCGAAGTAAAATCGGCTACGGGATTTTACTCAGCAAAGAGCCGGACGGCGTGTGGGCCTACAACCGCAGCGAGCACCCCATCTTCGTCAACTCCCCGACACTGGACATCCCCCACTGCAGGACCCTCATCGTGCGCAAGGTGATGCCGGGCTACTCCATCAAGGTGTTTGACTACGAGAAGTCCTGCCTCCTGCAGCACGCCGCCGACCCGGAGTCCACGGAGGGGCCCTACGACCCCAACAGCGTGAGGATCAGCTTCGCCAAGGGCTGGGGGCCCTGTTACTCCAGACAGTTCATCACCTCGTGTCCTTGTTGGCTGGAGATTTTGCTCAGTAACAATCGATAACGGTCAGCCTCTGACAAAAGGGTAAAAGCAAAGAAAA